TAAAATGCTGATTGGCCAGGCAGGAAGTATAGGCGGGTCAACCAAACAGGAAGTAGAGGCAGGGCAATGAGAATAGGAGAAGGCTAGGGAGGAGGAAGCTCCCTCTGCCATTCCTGCCCAGACCACCGAAGAGGCAACATGTGTGCTGCCATGCTGAGAAAGGTACTGAGCCATGTACTAGCATAGATAACGATAATGGATTAATATAAGTTACAAGGACTAATAAGAAGCCTGACCTAATGGGCCAATCAGTTTATAATCTTATGGAGTCTGGTGTGTGATTTTCTTTGGGAATTGCCGGCTGTGGGGTGCCGGGCAGGACAGATACCCCAACAAGCCAACCCTTCATGTTACATCTGATCACATGTGTCAGGATCCTGAAAGATGGAAATTGCAGAAGAATGCTAGTGAGGTTATTTTGTTTATATTTTTATTATTGATTGTTTGTACACAGATTAATTTTTGTTAATAGGATTTTTAAAAATCTGTTTTTCCCAAGACTTTGTTTTAAAAGAAAAAATAATATCTAAAGGAACATTCATTTTAAGTAGAATTAGAGTAATCTATTTATGAATCCTTAAACATATATTCTACTGCTATCCCTTCTTAATTTTAACTGTCTGCTGTTTAAGAAAATGGTAAAAACAAATAAAGCAAACATAATATACTGAACATAATTTAAAATTTTATATAACAAGTGACTGTTTTATGACTATTTTCGTTTGCTGTCTACTGCTCTATTAAACACTATGCCCAACAATATGTTGGCGGAAGAAAGGCTTTATTTGGTTTAAACATCCTGATCTACAAGGAAAGCCGAGCCAGGCACTCAAGCAAGGCAGGAAGCTTCAGAAAGGATCTATAGCAGAGACCACAAAAGAATGAAATTTACTGACTTGTTGTTCATAGCTCTTTCAGATTACTTTCTTTATACAACTCAGAACCAGCTGGCCAAGTTTGACACCACCCCCAATGAGATGCGCCCTTCCCTGTCAGTCATTAATCAAGAAAATTCCTCACAATCAAGTATACAGGCCAATCTTAAGGAGACAATCTTGGTTGACATTTTCTCAACCAAGGTTCCCTATTTCCAGGTAACTTTTGATTTGTCAAGTTGACAAAAATGCAACCAACATAATGACATTTTTATCTTGTCCACACTTTCTTGTTTGGTTTGAACTAACTTATTAGTGCATTAATTTATTGAGTAGAGTTTACTGAACACCTCAGACTCCATAAATTGTTTAAGGTCCTAGAACTTATGCTGCAGATAGCACAGGTAAATCTTTTCATCCTTGTGATGCTTATAGCTACACTAAAATATATTATTTAAACAATCATGAACAAGAATATAGATAATATGAATGCTAGTCAGTGATTCTATAATACACTACTGTAATATCGTTGAGCATTAGTTTGTTCATTATTTTTCTTTAAGATCAAATTCCTCATCAAAGCCTTCAGATAGGTCCACAAAATGAAATTTTATTAGTTATAGACAAATTTAGATAGCCTATTATTGCCATTAGATATGAAAATAGAAAGATAAAGTAGTCTAAGCATTTAGAAGTTATCACAAAAGATGTTTATCATTTAACAGGTATTTTTAGCATGTGCCAAAGAATCTATAATTATTTGTTTAAGGTACAAAAGCTTTCATCTTAAATGTTAGCTAATTCATGATATACCTGCAAACAATTGAATGCTACAGTGAGATTAATGAAGACATTTGTGTATTGTGAAAAGCCTAACCAGTCATTTTCCTGTGAGCCACTACCTCCTTTTTCTATTACAGTAGAAATTTCTTTAGGTCTCCTTCCCAAAGTATTTAAAAACTAGTATTATCAATTACTTAGTTACTAAATATATGGGACAATAGTCCCCCAAATTCAATAATTTTATTCTCAGTTCAATATGATAGACTGATAATGTTGGTATTTGATCAAATATTTGATATTTTCTTATATGTTCTCATTGATGGTTTGGTTTCTCTCTTTCTGTTTCTGTCCCTGACACCACTATGTCCTAGATGGATACCATACAGTAGTATCCAGCACCATTGCCTCTTTTTAAACTTGTTCCCCCACCCCACCCCTTAAATCAGTAAAATTAGAAATCTTCCTTTGTAATGAAGTTAAAGAATGTTACTTACAGTGTTAGCCACCACTGATCTGAATTTCACACCTCTTATTTGGTCATCTGCAGTTAGACCACATACCTTGGATCACACATGTGGGCAAAGTCATTAAAAATGACAAAAATAGCATATTTGGCTCTCTTCATAAACATGAATGTTAGAAACTCTGTGATAAAATTATGAAGTAGGGAATAAGACTCTTCACTGATTTCACTTCTGTACACAGTCCCCTTTCATTCAGAAAACTAATGATAGTTTGGTTATCTAAGCATCTATCATGTGACAACTCCAGAAAATACAATTTTTTCTCTCCAGTCATAACTTCTGCATGCTTTGTATATCAGGATTTGTATTTAACAAAAAGAATGTACAACATTTGAGAAGCCACAGAAGTACCTTGAACATTAGTGTATGGTAGGAACTCTGTAAACAAACCACTTCACAACATAGCTTTCCTTCAACAGATCTTCAACACTTCACTAGTAAACAAAACATTTTTAAAATAAACTATATTTTCACTTCATTGGAATTCTATTTGATTGATCAACTGAATACCCATGTGTTATGTGGTCTGGGTAGAAGAATGAAAAGATACATTATGTGTGATGTGTTCTTTGAATTCCAAATACTTTCTATGAATAAGAGTTCTATCTGAGGTCAGCAAAGAGTTTTAAAGAAAAATATATCTATTTTAGCAGCTTATGGCCTTGCTCAGTGCTGCTGTCTGAATGGTCTACCAATCTAACTTATTACTTGGGATGTGATGTCATCTTCTTGTATGCTCCAGCTTTATTCTTCTTTAGAGTACACAGAGATGTGGAGACTCAAAGATGGCTGTGGTGCAGTCAGAATACCTCAGAACTTCTGCAAAACGTCTTTCCCTCTTTGTTTACAAAGTTGTTAAAACTTTTCTCCAATTCATATACATCTAGCAAGCTTGAGAAAAATTATGGTTGGTAAAATTCTTCTTCTTTTTTTTTCTTTTGGTTTTTTGAGACAGTGTTACCATGTGTCAGAGCCCCAGCTCTTCTGGAACTAGCTCTTGAAGACCAGGCTGGCCTCGAATTCCCAAAGATCCACCTGCCTCTGCCTCCCAATTGCTGGGATTAAAGGTGTGCACCACCATTGCCCAGCTTGATAAATTTCTTATTCTGCAAGGATAAGAACCTGATTTAACCCCACACCCCCCGAAAACCATACAAATTAAGCTGTGGATAAGGGACAAAAAATGTAATCCTAATACTGGGCAATAAAGGGAGGTAACTGTCTGGAAATTCTGTCTAGTGAGGTGATGGAATCTCTCTCTCTCTCTCTCTCTCTCTCTCTCTCTCTCTCTCTCTCTCTCATGTGCAAGGTAGAGTATTGCTCCTGAGAAATAACACTTTATGCTGATTGGTCAAAGATAATTAACGTATAATTTAATCTCAAAGACTCAAGACAGTTTTTAGAAACAGCAGAAGTAATAAACATGGTGGAGAAACACAGTTGAACCCATTGACAAGATAGGCAGAGAGTAAAGTTGCTAAAAAAAAGTCCTCTAGACTGAATGCTTTTGCTTTTGGGGTTGGCATTCTCATCCATGCACAAATGCATATACATATATACATATACCCACACACCTCTGAAGAGATGGACCATTGAGATCTTTACTGTAGAAGATACATAGCCACTACCTAGAAAACAAGCAAATATATATCTCATGTTAGTAAATTACTAAAAATATTTATCTTTTCTCGTTTAAGTCTTAATGATGACCAACCTTGAGAAAACAAACTGTACCTATTGTAAGTTAAAAAATCCTGGTTTCTTATGATCTGCTGCCCCCAAATAAGAGAAATTAAATATTGTTATGCTTCTCTTCATTCTTCCTGAAAGAGCTCAGGTGATTTACTTTCTGAGGTTTAGAGAAATGAAAAATTAACTTGACCTGGAAATATTTTTCTCAATCCTGTGCATTCCCACAATATTGACTTTACTTAAAATATTACTTTCATTGTATAGTCACCAACTCTTACAAAATTTGAATTTTGCATATACCAGACTTAGAGTATTGGACCAGGACAGATGAAGTTAAATTTTTCCAGTACATAAGTACTTTTATTTATGGATAAATGCTTTTATTGTATTGAACAAAATCTTTCCTCATTCATTGTGAAGGTATCAGTATAGCTATTTAATTGATGCTTAAAGTATTCTTAGAACATTATTCATTTCAGAAGATGGAAGGTGATATATGTTGTGATGTAGCATAAAAAAGAAGAGCTCCCAGAGCTGGTTCCTTTTCATATGTGACTTCATTCCCACTTGTACTGAGATGGCATCCATCCTGTAATAGTCATGACGTCATCAATACTTACCTACCAGAATCTTTACAAACACTGCAGTGAATTATGGTAACACAGTATACATAGATAGTGTTAACATATTCATCATTTCAAATGACTTCAAAATTCACTTTTAAAATACTATCTATAACCCCATGTTCCTTGAGACCCTTTAGTTTCATAAATACATTTCAACTTTCTGTGTTTAGATATGGAGCTTTGAAAATCAGCATGTACCTTCCAGGGCATTGCTTGCGTTCATTAAAACATTTGTTCATATGATTCTGAAAACTTACAATCCTATTTTGTAATATCATCATATATTTAGAAGAATTCTGTACTATTTCACTTTGTATTGTTTTGTATTTTTGATATATTCATATTATTTGCTTTTCTTTTACAACATGGGGATTTGACTATTTTAGTAATTTTTCAATGAAATTTAAGGCTTAAATTAAATGAGCTCACCCATTAATATAGTAATATAAGCAAAAAGAAAAAAGAATATATATACATATACATATATATATATATAATGTCCTTATATCCTTCAGCCTTACTTCTCATTTTCCCTTACTAAGTAGAAATTGACTGCTGCAGTAAGTTGTAAACTGCCATGATTTTAATTTTTTTTATCTACCCAAAACACAGTCAATAATGATTAATGTATAATTCAATCTCAAAAACTCAAGACAGTTTTTAGAAACAGCAGAAACAATAAACATGGTAGAGAAACATAGTTGAACCCATAGACAAGATAAGCAGAGAGTGAAGTTGCTAAAGAAGTCCTCTAGACTGAACCTCTGGAGGGCAGTCCAGCATGTGCACAGCATGAGCCCAGGTTAGACCAGAATGATGAAGTAGTGATGTGCAGTTGCCTGGCTATGGAGAGTTGGTCCAAACCCTGTAAAATAGGAAGGAAAAGAGAAAGATTTTTTTTTTCTGAAGGAAAAATCCTACCTAATATGTGGTCATTTACTCGATCATTTCTTTTTTCCTTGTATGTTCCTTCTCTGCATTAAAGGTGGGTTTCTTTTCTGTTTATCAAGATGGTGACTGTTGTTCTGCACCGAGAACAGCTGTTAGGGGTAAAAAGAATCCCCTTCCTCTCCAAAAGTCATCTGGGGAAAATGCATCATAGAATGCGAGTTCATTAGTCTACACCGGAAAACTCACAAGGAAGGCCAAAGCAGTACTTCAGTGGGAGACAAGGGCTTTGTGCTCTCTTTTTAGTGGTGGCGGAAATGGGAGGTGCAGGCAGCTTTTGATGGTTAGTAAATCATTAGTTAAGGGAATGAATGAGCACTGAGTACAGGCAGTAGTTTGTAAGTGGTTCTTTTTAGAAGCATACAGGGGACAGATAAGAGTTTGTGAAATTCTGCTCTGAGATAGTGAAATACCATGGAGAGGAAGGAAGTAACTTCTTTTGTTGCTGATGGGTCTAGTAATTAAGCAGAGAGAGGGTTATTAGGATTATTAGGGAAAAGCATGTATTAGTCTCCAATGCTTTTGATTTTCAGTGATCAGCATGAAATGATACAGTACTTTTGAAAGGCAGTCTAGTGTCCTTCATGCTTAAAACGTTTAAGAACACCTACCCTTCCTTGGTTATGCTTTCATTCCATAATGATATTTTCTATCTTTGAAGTGCCTTATATTACTTATTCATTTCTACTGAAGTTATTCTCCCAAATGTGTCCCCTTTTACCCTTAGTTTTGGCTTTGTCTAGTGTACTTCCAGAGTTTGTTCTGTGTTCATTCCTGATCTGTCAATCTGCTGATTTCAAAACTTTGCCTGGTCGTATACTCATCTATTCTCTCCCCCAACAGATATACACAGATGGACACGCTGCATCTGGTTTCAAGAGTTCACATCTGATCCTTGGTGATAAAACCCAAAGACCTCTGATTATATGTTTCCAACTACCTTTGTGATATTTCAGTAAAGTGTTTCTCTATAACTTAAAGTTCACTAAAGCAAAATTGGACAAGTTTTATTCTACTTCCAAAAAATTCACCATTCCAATGTTACCATTTTACCATTTCTGATTTTATCACCACTCATATTTTAATACTTTATCAACTTATTCTCCATCCATTGCATTACCATAGTCCAAATTTTAAAAGTTGGTGTCTTTTCACAACAATCCAGGGAAACATATGTAAATATCAAGTCACAAATTGTAATTAATTTACCATTTGCTTTTACTGTTATTTCTTTGGCACAACTAAATGATTCCTTACTACCTACAAAGAAGCCAAGATGACCTTCTTCTGTAATTCTGATGTTCTTTCTCAATTACTCTTCTCTAAATTTCAGGCCATGCTCACTGGGTATCTAGATTAATCTAAAATGTCTAGATTATTTCAGCACTTCATTATTCAAAGATCCTCAACATCTTTGGATGTGTCTAGTAAACTGGAGGACATGTGGGTGAGCAAATAAGCAATCTAATGTATGACAGAGTAATATATAGAATCAGGTGATGGAAATTGCCACATCAATGTATAGAACACTCCAAGTTCCGTTTCTGAGCCAACCAGTTCATGTTGCTGTTTATTGACTAATACAGGAGTTCACAGATGTTAGGTAATCTTTATAGTTTTTGCAGTGTGACAATAACAAAGTCAGAAGAATCTACAGATTTCAGCAGAACAACTCCAGTAATGATTCTTTCCATTGCTCCTACTCTTGTAGGAAAATTATTCAGGCCTCCTTTGCAAATAAAATAAGCATTTCTATGGAGAAATCTTAGTTTTGGATGTCTATTTTGCATTTCTCATCACAATCTCTCTCAATGACATTTTTGTAAAGTTTGATTTGTTTCTGTTTTAATAGGCTATCTGACTTTGCGGTGTAGTATTCCATGCCTTCTAAACCATCCTAAAATGTCCTTTCTCATACACATGCTTATCTTCTCTTTGTAGAAAAAGCTGAAAACAAATATGCTGCAGGGCTCCTTATGGGGAAGATTGTGATTGCAATCTAAAGGTAAAATGCATGAGGAACCACATATAACTTGACCTTTCTTTTGATTTAATTTTAGCTGAATAAAAATATAAATAAATTTTGACTTTTGTTCTAATCTGGGAAGGGAAGTGAGGTAAACTGCAAAGATAAAGATGAGTTAAAGAAAATCCAGGAAGTGACACACAGCTAACTTCCATTCTTATTGTTATTTGGAACAGTGTGTCCCTTCCTACTTTGAGTCTGGGTCATTTTTCAAGAAGTCCGAGGACTTGGCAATACAACACAGCTTTTATGACGAATTTAATTAACACGTGTTCACTTCCAGTCCTAAAGTCAGTTTTTAATTGGGAGGCATTGATATCAAACTGGCCCAGTGGAATTTAGCAGCATTACCTGTTCATTCTAGTTGTGCCAAGTATCTCCTGTGTGGTCTCACTTGTAGAACTCTTTGAAAACTGCTTACCTACATCAAACTTGATTGACTTGTGCTTTAAAAGTCCTTAGGGATGTAAAGCCTTAATTACTTGGAATAATATTTATACTTAACAAACTTATACATTACTTTTTAATTAACTTTCTCAACAGAACAATCATGTTTAAAAATGTGGATTCTTAATGTTTTAATGTTTACTTTCCTAATCATACAGATGAGAATATTTCTAGGAAATAACTTTAGCATGTGGCAAAATCTTTTCAGTATCATGTTCTTTAATTTAATATGCTCTTTCTTATGACAATAACAATCCTGTCCTTAAAATAGCATGGAGCCAGAGAGACAATTTCACAGGGCTTAACTCATCAAATGACCTCCGTGTCTTTTCCTTCTGGCCTTCCGTTTGAACCCTGTGATGTCCTGAATTTTTCCTGTAGGAAATTATAAAAATAACTCTGATTCTAATGAGAACACAAGCATCCAAAGCGATTTTAAGAGATTATCAACCCCTGAGTCATACTATGTGACAGAGCTCTATTGTATGTGCCATCACACATTCTAAAAGTGTTTCACCAGTTTCCAAGCAAGGCTAAGTCGAAGGAGGATTTAAATCTGGAGGGAGTCTTTCCTTTCTCAATAAAGATGGCAATGTATCTGGAAGCAGGTAGATCATATACTGTGTGCCTTCTTGTTAATAAGTACATGTAAATAATGCTTAACATTAATAGTAACAAATACAAAAGGGTCAGATTATGATAAAGTGTAGTCATGAAATATTCTAATCATGTGAAGCACACAAGAGAATTTAAGTTTTATGTTGGTCATATTAGATCCAATGTCTTAAATGCTGTGTTTTCATTTTAAAGAAAATGTATAATTCTTAAGAAATATCCTTAGTTCTTACATTTTACATATATTCTCAAGTGAATTTGAAAAGGGGAAAGAAGAATTTCACTATAATACTGAAAACAATAATGGTATTTTAAATTTGTGACAGAGGAATGGAGGAGCACAAAGAGTGTTTATAAGGATGTAACTGTATCTCACTAGCTCCAATTAGTGACACATGCTTTTAACCTCAGCAATCAGGAGGTTGCAGGGTAGGGGACATTCTGTAAATTCAAGGTCTTCCTAATATATGTAGCAAATTCAGTACAGCCAGGGCTACACAGAGAGATACTGCCTCAAAAGAAAAAGATGAGTGAGGAGAAGGAGGTAGAGGAGAAGGAGAAGAAGAAAAAATAGAAAAAAGAAAAAGAGGTGGAATGAAAGAAGAGTAAGAAATAAAAAAAACTAGAAAGCAACTAAAATATGGTCAATTGATATAACAGTTGGCTAGGCTATTAACATTGTTTCACAATATGTGAGTTACAGGATGTTAAAATCATTAGAATGGAAGTAGTGGGCATTGTTCTTTGTAATTTCAGTAAAGGGATGGGTATAGCTATGCTAACTATTGTGGTCCACTGAAATATTGCATTGTCATGGGTAGAAAGGAGAGTTTGCAATGGTGGAGGCAATAATAGAGGCAAGACCAATCACACCTGCACAAAGATGGGGAGGAAATAACCCATAATGACAGTATTATTTATTTCTAAATTATGAGTTTACATGTAATTGTTAATATGTTCATATGTTCATAAGGTCTTTAATTATCATGTAGCCTTTAAGGTATATATATATATATATATATATATATATATATATATACATACACACAGGCACATACACATATTAATGATGGGGGAAAGCTTATAGATATTTGATGAATGGGAAAATGTAGTAATTATCAGAATTAATTATAGGAAATTATATTGGTTTGGTTTTTACTAACCTGTAGGAAAGAGTTTTCATTAAACAGTCAAGTGAGGATTTTCACGTGTGTTCTCTGGAGTCTAAGAAATGTCATTGAACTAGAGATTTCTAAAATTTCAGTGATTACCTGAGAGTGGTAATAATTTGGTTATCTTGTTTCTTTTCTCTTATCTGTTTTCACGCTGCCTCGTTGACTGGAAACACTGTAATATCTTAAGTCTCTTAATTTGTACAATAGTTTTGCAACCAATAAATAATGGTGTGAAATACAATACTAGCTGGGTAACTGTAAAGTTTAATGTCCGTACCCCAGAGCTGGGATGTCAGAATGAGTGCCAAGCCTCATTTAGAGTGGTGTAAGCTGACATTAGATGGAGCTGTTGCTCTGAGCTGTATGGTTAGAAATTGCTGTATAACTGTCTCCTGAGCCTTCAGGCAATCTTTTCTTTTGTGTACCGTAGCTTCAAGAATTTTTTATTTTAATTTATTTTTTAAATTTAATTTTATATTCCATCCACAGTTCTCTCCCCGAACCTTCCTCCAACCCCCCTCCCCTCACTCCCAGTCCACCACTTATCCTCCCATGGGAAGTCAGCAAAGTCTGGTGCATTAAGTTGTGGTGGGATCAAGCCCCTCCCCCTGCATTAAGACTGAGCAAGCCATCCCACCATAGGGAAGAAGCTCCAACACCGCAATCCATGCACCAGGAACAGATCCTGGACAGACTGCCAGGCACTTCACCACTGTCTCCCATACATAAAGGAACTAGTTCAGTCCCATGGAGGCTCCACAGTTGTTAGTCTCCAATTCACGAGTTTCCATGAGCTTGGTTCAGCTGTCTCTGTAGATTTCTCCATCATGATCTAGACCTCCATTGCTCATATATTCCCTCCCTTCTCTCTTCATTTGAGTTCCTGGAGCTACTCCTAGTTGTGGATTTTTGCCTATGGTTCTCTCAGTTGCTGGATGAAGTCTCCATGATGATAGCTGTGGTATTTACCAATCTGATTACAGGAGAAGGCCAGTTTATGGTACCTCTCTACTATTGCTAGCAGTCTTAGTTGGAGTCATCCTTTTGGATGCTTGGAAATTTACCTGGGACCTTCTTAAGGCATAGTGACTCTCTCTATGACGATCTCAAGAGCTTTCATTGTTCTCCCACTTCGTCCCTCTCCCACCTCAATCATCTTCCATTCCCTCATGTTCTCATCTCCTATGTCCTTCCCTTTAACATTCCCTCTCATCCCCAGTTTACCCAGGAGATCTCATTCAATTATCCTTTCCTGGCCAAGCCACATGTCCATCTTAGAGTCTCCCATGTTACCTAGTTTCTCTGGAGCTATGGATTAGTCTGGATATCCTTTCCTTTGCATCTAATACCCACTTATGAGTAAATAAATACTGTGTTTGTCTTTCTGCACTTGTGAGTCAGAGACAGGCAGATCTACAGAGTGAGTTTCAGGACATCCAAAGATATGCAGAGAAACCCTGTCTCAGAAAACCAAAAAGCTTCAAGGATTTTTTAAAAATGTTAATTATAAGCATAACAAGAGAGCCTAGAGTCTGAGCTCCTTTCAGATTCTTTACCTGACAGATATAAACATTAAATAGACATTGTAAGAAGACATCACAACAATCTATGGGCAATGGGAGTTAGATACTAAGAGCGACATTCAGGCTTCCTGACAGGGAGTTGAAATAAGAAAAGGGCTGCAAAATTATGCTTTCTAAAGGGAGAGAGTTCAGACAGTAGTGAACATGCCCAGTAGAAAGTATTTAGTAGCAACTGTTCCTAAAGAGAGTTTTTCATTTCATGGTGCATTAGAAAGACAGCTACTTCTCACATTTTCCAGAGTCATCATTTGAATCCTTACCTCTGCCAGAATTCTGCCATGTTTTAACTTAGGCTGGTTTTCTCTCAGTTGTAAAACAAGGTTCAGAGGGCTCAGAACAAATGGATTTGTTGTCATGGAACTTGTTCTAGGGTAGAAAATATATAATGTGATTATAAATAGTAATAAAGTTAATAATACATTATGGTGTGTTTTAAAGAAAATTAGATTCTTGGAAAATCTTGCTAAAGCATAAGATTGAGGGCAATATAGAATGTGTGTGTAGAGGCAAAACAGTTAAAGCTTGTGTCTTAGTTAGGCTGTTGCTGTGAAGAGACACAAGGGCATTCTTATAAAGGAAATCATTTATTTGGGGCTGGCTTACAGTTTCAGATGTTCAATCCATTAGCATCATGGTGGAACATGGCAGTACACAGACAGACACAGTGCTGGGGAAAGAGCTAAGAGTTTTTATATCTGATTTATAGGCAACAGGAAGTTAGCTGAGATACTGGTTGTGGATTGGTCACATATGATACCTCAAAGCCCGCCTCCATGGTGACACACTTTCTCCCACGAGGTCATACCTAATCCAACAATGCCACACCTCCAAATAGTGCCACTCCTTATGAGTTTATGGAGCCCCATTATATTCAAACTACCACAGCATGGGATTCTTTTTTAAGGAAGAGAGATCAAAGAAGATTGAAGAAGGACACGTAAAAGAAATCCCACACTAGCTCAGAATTGAGAAATAAGATGGTTATTTATTTAGGGGTAAACTCACAAATTAGATTTCTCTGCTGAAATCGAGATCAAAAACCAAAATCTGCAAGCAGAACAGAGAGGCTGGAAAAGAGGTCATACACAGACTCTGCATCAGCATATATAATATAAGAGGCCAAACCCCAGTGGGCAGGTAACCCCCAACTGTAAGATTTCCTACAGTAGAAGATCATATTGAGCACTGGATCATGCACAACTATATATATTCAAGTTTTAGTAAAAGATTTTTGAGAAAACTTTTTTAAACTTTCAGAAATGAAAGTTTCTTTCATTTCTTTCCACCTAGCTAGAATGAAATCTTAGGCACAACCACACTGGTGTAGTAATGTTTAATCAGTTCACCTAACTACCAGGGACAATGAAAGCCACAGTGCAACAACACATCCATTAGATCCCTTTGATTGACCATGCTAAGGACACATGATGCTATGCAATCTTTTAGTCTGGAATCAGAATAGTTTGTCTCTCCTTTTTACAGTAGCAAAGTAATATGGTTGAAGGAAGGAGCTATTGCCTGGGTGGCCCAATCTGCATAATTCAACTGTAATTAATAGCTTCAGATCTCTTTGAAGACTGACATGAGTAATGTAAACAAACAGAGGAAGATACTGTGGTTACAAGTAATAAAATATAATTCAATTTAAAAATTACAGAATAACTTAAAATTAAGCTGTTTCAAGTGCAAATGCAATGAAAATAAACTCATAGAGAGAAAGCAAACTAAAGTAGAAAACAATCACTCTTGAATGCCTTATTTTAAAATGCATTAAGCATGTACACGTATTTACAGGGAGATAAATGTGCACACTCATACACACACACACATCTACATCAAGATTACGTAAGACTGAACTATCCTGCAAACCGTCATGTTAAGACCAAGATAAAATAACTTAATTGAATAGGCAAAAAATGAACTTGGCATTTCCCTGGTCCAGGGTCCTGCTAGGTAACTGAAGCCTGATGCAGATAATTAGTTGAAAAATAATAAGACATGTACTTCTCAGGAGAGATGACTTTAGAAAGTACCAGTAAGGTCTAATTGAAGGAAATGCATCTTTAATGAACAGTGACATCTTAAAGTTAGGTTTCCATATTGGCAGGACACGTAAAGAATGATAATGATGAATACAAGGTACAAGTGTCTCAGTTAGAAAATTGAAATGTACTATCAGAATTTTGACAGCAGTGAGACACAGGAAGAATAAAAAATAAGTAAATAAATAAACAGGAGAGAATGAGAAGAAGAAGTTAAGGCATACAGGTGAGAATGAGTATATTTTTGGGGAGCAAACTCTACTTCTAGAAGCCAGTATCAACTCAGAAATTTAAACCCACACTATCACAATATACAAGGCTTAATTTTGGTACCTTTTCTTTCTTCCAAATGACAAAACTATCAGCTATTATCATGCAAGGAGGACCGGGATATAAATTCTATTCAGGATTCATCTTGGGGGTAAAGAAGGCTATTGAAATTAGTAATCAGTCTGAGACTTGCAGGAGTTTATATTAGCATGAACAGAGACTAAAATAAGAGGGCATAGTAATTTTATATACTGATGGCTTCATAGATTTCCCCTTTAAATAACTTGTCTTAAACCTTATGGAAGTCCTTCAGACTGTGTATGGAATTTTGAACCAGTCATACAAGGTGAAGGAAATATTATGTGTTTTTGTCTGTAGTCAACTGAAGTGTCATCTATAAAGAGAAAAATCAATCAAATAAATAAGCTGCATGGCTGAATTGTATGGTGTTGTTGGAATAAATGCACAATAGTGAACAAACAGTACCTAACAAAATCAACAGAAAGGGTAGTAATAAACATATTGTATCACAATTTTATTATCAAAAATATTTTCTCCAGGAAAAAAAAGGCCGATGAGATAGAAGAAATAAATAAAAATGTCATGTGTCTGAGAAAGCAGAAGCTTGGAGGTCTCATAGTTAACCCTCACCAGTTTTACATAGAGGTAGTTGTCAGAACTGCTGACTCGGAGAATCAAGGAGACTCTGGAGAGAAACAATAACCAGGACCCACTGGTTTAAAGCAAGTAGTGCAGAGGCCTCCACTAAAAGGAATTCTGCTTTTCAATTGTCAGCTGTGTTGGGAGTGTTCTTCAGAGATACAGCTGTTCTTTCTAGGTTCACTTCTGCTTCTGTAAACACCTGCTCACCCAGACTCCTGTTAGGAGCCACAATAATTTTTCATAGACTCAACAAGTTTGATGCTTGTATAATTGTTTAGTTTGTTGTGAATTTCCTTTCTGAGGTGAAAGTATTGAGTGACCCCTGGAAAAGCTTTTCAAACAAGAAAGCTGTATTAGATGCACTGTGGGAAATAACAATTAGAAGAAAGACCAAATTTTTGCTAAGAGAAGTAGAGAATATTGTTTTGGTACATATTTTTCATCAATAATCTCTCTCTCTCTCTCTCTCTCTCTCTCTCTCTCTCTCTCTCTCTCTTTCTCTCTCCAATCCAAATACATCAGTATACCCCAGACACAGTAGCATCTATTTCATAAATTCCAAAATATATCAATTAGAAGAACTTGTTTCCACTTGAAAGATCTTTAGTTTTCCTGTGTGTTTATGATACGTGGCTTTCATTATTGTTATTATTTTTTCACAAGATAAGGCCTGCTAATGTTCTGAACAAGGTTCTGATAATCTGGCCATCCTTTCAAATTTAACCAGATCTATACCCCAACCCATCCCAGCCAAATAAGCATATCTTAAAATGAGCATTTAAAAATGTCCCATGAAAGAACAGACTGTCAGAGCCTTTAATAAATTCAAATTCTGGTTTAATAGTTCATTATTGTGGATTTTGGCTCACAACTGCCATGGAAATGAAGTCCTCATTATTCAGATAAAGAAATAAGGACACTATTCCCCTTTCCCCCTCTCTGCTCTGCCTGACAATATGAGCTTAATTTGAGCTTTAATTACCCCATTCTCAGCAAATGCACAGCACCCTAAAGTAAAAGCATCTCTATGCTTGTTCTCTATAAAAGCTAGACCTAAGAGATAAATGTCTGCAGGCTTCTACTGAGGTAATAAAGGATCTTAAATCAAGTCAGAACATGACAGTGGAAGGATGTTGCAGCAAGGCTACTTCTGAATGATGTTAAATTGCCAAACCACTAGCTTCCTTTAATTTGGACTTTTCCTTGTTAACCCACAACATTATTCTTATCTGGAAAGTCTTCAAAGAAGAAACCCAAAGATAAATAAAAATATGAATAATATATAAGCCAAATATACAAAGAGGCAACAAAGCAGAAGATGGCAAAACCCTCTTCTTTGCCTTGAAAATCTACCAGAGTCTATTATGGGGGAGATAATAAGCCAGGGGAGAATAGAACCTTAGAATGGGATGCAGAGTTTGTGGATTTTGAGGCTACAGGTGCTAATACTGACACAGAATAAGTTGTTTTTCCTGAGTTGCCAGATTATGATTATGACAATCATAATATATATCACTGAAAGTAAGCTGCTCACTAAACCATATACTATATATGTATATATAACATAATACAATATAAAAATACGTATTTATTATGGAGTTGGGTTACATCACCTATTAAATTTTGAAACTGTCTTCAGAGTATGAATTGGGAAATAGAGTGGATTTATAATCCAATATGAAGAATGTCATAAGACAAGCAGATTTGGAAATACACGCTTATGCTAAATATTATGTGGGGTGAAAGCAAAGTTCAGCGTGTTAAATCATGAGTATAGAGTATTAAACATAGACAAGAAGCTCCAGACCTAGGTAAGGGAGACACTTATGATTATTACTTCACAAACTTTAGCACACCAGAGAAGTTAGGTAAAAGAGAGTCATAAAAGGTTCATCCTCTGAATCCCCATGAAACCCTACAACCTGTGCGAAGGAGACACTTAGAACAGCTAGATACTCATAGCATGGAAGATCCAACCTTACCAACATCCAGAGCCATGAATCAGTTAATTTCTCAACCTATGGTTTTTTTGTTTTAAAAGTCACGATGAGCTAATATATAATATCCTGGTGATGGAACCAATATAAAATTATTATTTTAGTCTTGAAGTGATTTTTTTGATGAAAAAAATCTATCTAAACCTAACAAATTTGTTAAAAATGCTCCAAACTGTTCTACTTCCTGAGCTTTATTATTTGAATATTTCTCAATGCTGATATTTTTGTTAAATTAAATAAGTTGATGTGGAGAAAGTTTTAGTAGTCTGCTTGTGCTTTCTGTGTCAAAGTTTTCTTTGATAAAAATAGTGCTGATTATAAGTTTTTAAAATTTTGGCCTTGTCTAAAACTTAGCTTGGCTCTTGATCTGTAATAGCTTTTTCTTTTGAAGAAC